CTACAATTGTGGAAAGAAAGTACATTACACAGAGACTACTGGTACAGAAAGTTGAAGGTAATGTAGCTACTTCTTCCCAAAACCAACAAGATGAAGAGAAAGAATGGGACTTTGAGACCTTTTATACATTTGAAGAAAGAAATCAACAAAAGGAGCTTATCCCCTATCACTCTACAAAAGAAGAAGAGATTGCACTTACAACTATAAGTGAGATGATTGGTGATATAAAAGGCTCATCAAAACATGAGTGAATATAAAGGCGGTCGATAGTGGTGACCACAAATAATTCAAAATGTGAATAATCCATATTGGCAAGACAGTGTCCGTGCCTCATCACAGGTCAAGATAAGTGAAACTTCAAAATATCTACCATGTTCCAAGTATGAAGAAGAACTTATTATCTATATTGCAACTAACACATTATGGTAACTATGTCTTGTTTGGGCCAAGTAACGTAAAAGTACATTGAAATAGTTTATCTATGGCATGCATGTCTTGGGCACGTGAGCTACAGCAAATTAAAATCATGATGCAACAATCAAAATTAAAAGGTCTTCCCCAACTTGAGATTAGAGGAGACACTATCAGTATTGGATGTCAATATAGGGAAGCACATCAACTTCCCTATGGATAATTATTGAAGTATCAAGTGAAAGAGCCATTGGAGCTAGTACACTCAGACTTGTTTGGATATGTAAAAGAGTCCTCCATCAGTGGTTATCGTTACATGGTGAAATTCATTTATGAATTCTCAAGGTATGTATATATTTATTTTTTAAAAGAGAAATCTGAAGTATTTGATAGGTTTAAAGAGTTTCAACATACTGTGGACAATATTATTGGAAGGAAAATCAAAAGTCTTCGTACGAACAATGGGGGAGAATACACTTCACAAGGGTTCAATGACTATATTAAAGAAAAGATGATAAAGAGACATTTTACTTGCCCAAATACAACACAACAAAATGGAGTGATTGAAAAAATAGAAATTGATATGCAGAAGTATGTTGCATAGTATGAATGTACCAGCAAGGCTTTTGATAGAATGCATGAAGAATATTATCCACATCACTAACCGGTTGCCGCAAGCAAGATGAAGATTCATCTCACCATTTGAGAAATTTAATAAGATGATTCCTATGGAAATCCACTTTTGAGTTTTTAGTTGTGTGGGCTATGTGTTCATGCCAGATCATCTCCACAACAAGTTTGATAAAAAAAGCTATATGTTGCATCTTTGTTGGATACGATGAACAAATAAAAGGATGGAGGTGTTGTGAACCTACCACAAACCAGACGTATGTGTGAAGAAATATGGTATTTGATGAAGCGTCAGCTTGGAGGTCCAATAAAGTCTCCCTTATAGACTCAATAGCTCTTGAGTAAAATGATCAATATATGCTTATCGATTTAGAACAAGGAACAAGATAGAATCTAAGAAGGAGGTATCTCCCCAAATGAAAGAGGAGCTTATGGAAAACTGGATCTTGTTTGTCACACCCCGAGGCAACCCCCTAGACGCTGACACGGGACTTAGGATAACGAGTGACCCCAAGCTAATCCTGCTGGCATAACATAAGCATACTATGATAACAAAACTGATGCGGAAACTTAAAATCATGAAAATAAAAGTGATGGGCAATACCCATTCTAAAACAAAATATATATTCCGGGAGTTTAATACAAAAGGAATATCAAACTCAAATACTAAGCTGAAACTAACTATGTCTGGAAATAAGCCTCTAAACTGACTAGAAATGTTAGGACAAGCCCTAACTAGATCTAGCAAACTGAAAATAAAAGACTGAAATATTGAAATGATAACATGATTGTTGTCCTTGAAGAATGAGGACTCACCACTGATGCTGCTGAACTGGAGATCGGGAATCGATCTATGCGTGATCTGACTGCTGAGGACATGTACCTACATCACGACAAGATATAGCGCAATATATGCATCAGTACTTGAAAGGTATTAAGCATGCAAGATAGAATAAAGCTAAAATAAACATATAACTGAAGAAGCAATAAAGCAAGAGAATAATCTGACCATGATATAGATACTGAAGACTGAGCTAGCTAAATGAAATGACAAATTTATAACATGCTGAGACTGAATACTGAGTATACTGAAATGGTCAATGCAATAGAGTCTGACTGAACTGTGGGAGCTAATAATAATCGATAATAAAACCACATGAGCTAGATGTGGAGTCTGATGTATACACCCATCGAGAGGACCCAATATACCCTGCCAGAGGTATAGAGGCATGCTGGCGTGATCACTAAAATGATGCCCACAGAGGGACTTACAACCTACTTTGGCTAGTTGTTCTGGAA